GGGGCTGCACAGGTGTTCCTTCAGATAGATGTTCCTCTTAGATGTTCCTGGTGCATGTTGTCTCTCTCCTCCTTTATAGTCCTCTTCCACCAATCCCAACTCTGCTACCCACACGCCGAGTACGCTGCTCTCCTCCAATCAGGAGCAGGTCCTACAGTTTATTGGTTGAACTGGAGGCAGCTGCGTAGAAGCTGTTTCTCCCTTCTCAGCGCCGTATTGTGGGAGAGCAGATGCATAGAATAAGTCTTAATTCCAGTAACTTAGTCTAGTCCGAGTTGCTCCCCACACCAATGTCCATGAACTTCCCCTGCTCACAATACATCCTCCTTATTGACAAGGTTACTGGGGCTCTGGGCTGTTAACACATTTCTTCCACACTGAGAAATCTAAGTTATACTGGTGGCACCTAAGAGTTCTTCCTAGAAGCTAAAACTGGTTAGGAATTTTCTCACACACCATGATAGATATTTAACTCCACAACTTTATTGAAATTGTTCTGTGTGGTGTCCTTCACTGTGCAGTGTCATGCATGGAGATAAAAGTATAAGCAAGTACAGAACATACTCAGAGACCTCACAGCAAGTTGCAACAAGCAGAGTAAAGATAATCAGAATCCATTATCTTTTGTGCTGTGAGAGAAGGATGCATAGTCTGCAGGGGGTAGAGAGGAAGTATATGGAGAGAAGATATATGGTTCTTGCTCTTTCATACCCAACTGTGAGGAATACCAACAAACTAATAGTAAAAATATAATTTCATCTGCCCCAAAAGAAACAGACATAATGGACAGAAGAGAATGGCAGCTCAGTATTAAGGAGAATGAATGAAAGAATCAGAATGCCACTCTAGTTGAAGGATGTTAGAACATCTGCCAAATAACCATTGACTTATGGAACCAGCAGAAATTTGTCAAGATACTGTGCAGACTCCAGAGCACCTTTCTGGTTTTCCAGTAATTGTTGCATGTCTTGGATGTTGGATGTATGCATCTTCATATATGTGTTTCCTTAGCCAAAAGTTGGCTTTCCTTTACTCTTACTTTATATATGACACACTGTAGATACCATAAAGACATGATACATTTTTTCAAGACTCTCATGTCAGGCCAAAATCTAAAAGTTGAGAATTATGAGTCTTAATGAAATTAAGAATATGATGTTATGAGTCCACATAGAGGGCGCAAATTTTTATCTTTAGTCATTTACAGTGTGTAAAGTACAAAGGGAATCTGACTTTGATCCTGAATGTAATATAAGAAAATTGTGTTTTTTTTTTTTTAATTTTAAAGAGCAGTATGATGCAAAACTTGAAACTTGATTGTTCTTTGGAGATTATTGAAGAATGTGCATAGCTAGAAATGAGAAGAGAAAGTCTGAAGGAAAGAAAAGGAACATCAGATCGAGAATAGGAAATCAAATTGTCTCTAAACGAAACTACATAGTGGGGGGCATCCCTATGGCGCAGTGGGTTAATGCTCTTGGCTGAGGTGAAGGCATCACTTCGGGCGCTGGTTTGGGACCTGGCTGCCCCACTTCCAAACCAGCTCTCTGCTATGGTCTGGGAAAGCAGTGGAAGATGGCCCCTGCACCCATGTGGGAGACCCAGAAGAAGCACCTGCCTGCTGGCTCCAGATCAGCACAGCTCCAGCCATTGTGGCCAATAAGGGAGTGAACTCTTGGATGGGATACCTCTCTCTCTCTCTCTCTCTCTCTCTCTCTCTCTGCCTCTCCTCTCTCTGTAATTCTTTCAAATAAAAAATTAAACCTTTTTAAAAAACTACATGGAACAGTTATAAGGTGAGAATAATCAATGAAGTTCCTCTCATGGAGTTGCTGCTTAATAAATATTTGTTAAAAGAAATATTTGTTAAGATCAGTTGTTAGTTGTGTAGCAACTGTGTCCAACTTTTGTTCATCTTTCTGTACAATCAGCTTTCATCCATCTATCCATCCATCCATTACTGTACATTCTCTTTGTACAGTTAAAATACTGTGTTTGTTACATTCACAGTTACACACTGGAAGTGATAACCTGCTGTATTTCTATTTTCAGGAAAACGGATCTGTGTGGGAGAGGCCCTGGCCCGCATGGAGCTGTTTTTGTTCCTGACCTCCATTTTGCAGAACTTTAAACTGCAATCTCTGGTTGAGCCAAAGGACCTGGACATCACTGCAGTTCTCAATGGATTTGTTTCTGTGCCACCTTCGTTCCAGCTCTGCTTCATTCCTGTTTGAAAAGGAGCAGACTGGCTTCTACTGTGCCATCATTTCAAAGGCATTGCCCATCACCTTACTGCATTTGAGACACTTCTTTAACTTTTCTCACATCTTACTATTCCCTTAAGATCTAGTGAAAACCTAACTTCTGTGGGTGATCCCCTGAGACTGCCTGCCCTGACCATGCAAGAGGTAGAGAGGGCATGGCAAGCCATGCCTCCTGGGAGGGACCCCACAGCCTGGCTGCTGGCAGGTGGCGGGAGCCCCAGGCACATTTCTCTCCATTCCTGCCTGTCAGGTAAACTGCTCCTAGCTGTGTCCAAAGCCCATCAAGAAAGCTACCGTAGGCTATGTGACCTTCAAGATGATTGTAGGAGCATATCAGTACCAATATTGCCTCTATCCTATAGAATTAGTACTGCCCTGAATTAGTTACACCCTTTCTGCCTGCCCTTTAGAAAGTGTGCATGCTCATTAATAAAGTGGATGCATTCACTGAAATTTGTCTCTAGTGCTGCTTTGCCAAAAGCACCATTGCACCACCCATGCAGACAGCGTGCAGGCCTTGCAAGATGAACCCTTAAACCTCCATTCAGGTAGTTTCATAGGTCATTTTGTAAGAATATATACTATTCCTATATTTTGCAACATTTACACTGAGTCCCACATGATCTAGCAGTATCAATCTAATAGTATCCATGGCAATGTACCATATGTTAATCAATATAAAACAGAAAATAATGGTAAGAATAGACCCATTCTTCCTGTGTGGGCCTGTTATACCAGTCAAACAGAACCTGAAGGAGGGAGTGGGAATGAAAAGAGGGACAATGGCACAGAGAATGGAGCCAAGACAACAAGGCTGATCAAGGCTCGTTTATTCCAGTGTCTCAGAGATATTTATGTATAACCAGCTGCAGCTCAAGGCAACTCAGAAGTAAACAACACATGCAAGCAACTTATCAAGCTTTCTACAACATAGTCACAACATAGTTAATTTGAGCAGAATGTTCTTGTTTGATTATTCTCCTTCAACATAGGAGTATATGACTTTTTTTCTTTCAGGAATTCCGCAAGCCAAGACTGACATTGACTTGTCTATGACTTGTTCATGGGCTGCCTACATCTCCCCCCTTTTATTTAATTGAGAATGGCCTCTGTCTTAGGTTTCCCTCAGTCATCTCTGTCCTTACCCATCATCGGTAACTCTAGCAGCTTGGCCTAGAGCCCTGTCTTAGGTTGGTACAGGTTGCTGAGTATCTTACCCGTCATTGCATACCATTCCAGCTTGACATTAGGCGAGAGATGAAATATACAGCTAACTATCAATTATTTTGATTACAAAGGAGGCTTGGTATGAGGTTTTAAATGATGAATCTCAGTCCAAATAGACTGTAGTAAAATTAACACAAGTTGCAGAACACACGGAAAACATCCCAGACAAAGTAGGAAAAGCAGTAGCAGTCCAGCCAACATTAATAACCAATGGATCCATAGGAACCCTCAAATAATAGGGGGTTGTTAATGAACATGTGTTGCATTTCACTTTAAGCTTATCAATAAGACTCTATATATGGTACATTGTGAGTAATATTAAAACAACATCCCCCAGGCACAGATTCACAGCTTTTATGATCTTTTAACAGCAAGTAATCAATAGCTGCACAGTTTAAAAGTACTCCTGAGTGAACTTGATCCAATTCTTCAGCTATGTTGGAAAGCACAGTAGCAGTAAGATTAATTGTCATGGTCACCAAACATGCAAGCCTTTGCAGTCCACGATTATTTCCATAAGCCAATCCAGGAACTCCTACTAGTGATATAGCCATGGTAAAGGCAATGTCATCTCCAATTAAGATGACATTATCATGACAGTTCTCAGGTGATGAGCGTCGCTGTCATGTCTTTGGAAATACAGATGTCAGCATCGGGGCCACATGGCCCAATGAGCAGTTGCAGAAATCATCAGGGGCTAACAATGTAAAATCATATTAACTGCATAAAAAAAACCCATCCTTCAGGAGCCCATGTCCCATACCAGTACCAGATCAATCCATTCCATTGATTGGTGATAGGATCCCTCCATTTCACCATGGCTCTTTTCCCAGGTGTTTGTGGATGCCAGTGTCGATCAGCTACAGAACGACCATCTTTCCAATGTGAGAAAATTTTAAATGAATAAAGCATGTGAGAGCCATTTGTTAGGAGAATGGGCAGAAACACCAAACTCCCCCTTTTTTATTTTATTTAAATATTGCTTTAAAGTATTATGCACGCGTTCAACAATGCCTTGATGCTAGCTTTATAGGGAATGCCAGTAACATGTAATGTAAAAAAGGTTGTGCAAAAAGTTTTAAAAGAGGTAGACATACAAGCAGTTCCATTATCCATCTTAATCTGCTTTGGAGTTCCTAGGGAAGCAAAAGCTTGCAAGCAATGGGCAATAACATGTTTTGTAGTTTCACCTGTATGTAAGGAAGCAAAATTAAGTTTAGAACAGGTATCAATAGACACATGTATATATATATTTTTTACCGAATTCCATGAAGTGGCTGATGTCCCTTTGTCAGAGTTGATTGGGGACAATCCTCTGGATGTAAAGGTATTGTATAAATACAATCTTTTAAATCTACTATTACAATATAAGAGTCCTTTGGAATTGTAGTAGGCAACGGTAAACGCGGTTGCAAGGCCCCCATAATTTCCATAGTATCATTAACCACCCTAAGGTCCTGAAGCAACCGCCATCTCCCAGATTTCTTTTTGATAACAAAAATAGGACCATTCCAAGGAGAATTAGAACTATATGTCCTGCTGTTAATTGTTCTTCCACCAATATCTACAGCATTTATCTTTTCTGCAGTAAAGGCCACTGATCCACCCACATGGGATCATCTGATTTCCGTTTTATTTTTTCCTCATGGGGCACAGGTTGATCAGTGGCCATCATGGGGAACCTAAACCACTTCAATCAGGATTAACAGTTAAAGTAACAGGAGATGTAATGCCTTGTTGTTGTCTACCTAAACACTTACCTGGCAAGTGACCCTGTTGAAGCATATTAGCGGTAACAACTTCATTTGGACTACACATTAAAGCCCCCATTTGTGTTAAAACATCTTGCCCCCAGAGATTCATGGGCAGTCCTTCTAAAATATATGGTTGGAATGTGCCTGTATTGCCTGCTTCATCTTCCCATTGCAACAATTTGGAACTTTGTTCTAATCTCTGACTCTGACCAATACCTCATAACTGAGTCATAGTTAATTCTTTTTTCCATCCTTTAGGCCAATTTTTTGCAGAAATGACAGAAAAATCATCTCCCGTATGTAGTAACCCCATGAACAATTTTTCATTCAATTTTAATTGAAATTTTGGCCTCTCCTTTGTTATAGGCTGGGCCCAATAAGCATCTGAAGACCCAAAACCTCCTTCCCCATGGGACTTCACCAATGTGGCTCCAAATAAGGCAAGAGGAAGAAGGACCAGCTGAGCAATGTGCTGTCCAGGAGAAAGTGTGACAATAGTACCATTAGCTTGGGCCATCATTTTAATTTCTCCCATGAAATTTTCATCTATAACCCCAGGGAAAACTTGCAATCCAGCCATAGTAGGGCTACTTCTTTCTAACAAAAGCCAAAACAACCCTTAGGTAGCAGTCCACTGATCCCTGTAGGGAGGGCATGAGACTGGCCCCGCTGACAGTTTCCCAAACTCTGTTTTTTAATGAATTACCTTCTTTATCAGTTTTGGAGTGACATTCGTTGGCCCAATGCCTTCCCCTTTAGCACCAGGGGCAAATCCCAGGAGGAGCCTTATTTTGATTTTTGACTTTTGGACAATTTTTGTACATGTCCCTGCTGCCCACATTTAGAACACCTTCATTTTTGGGGCATAACCCTCCTTGTTGATTTTTGTAATGACATACCATGTAGAGTGGCAGGTCCTGAATGTCCTGTTTTTAAGTGAATCCATTTTGTTAATCCTTTATCAAAGGGACTGTCACAGAACACATCAGTCACAGTAGCCAATTGATCCATGTCCTCATTTTATACTTATGTTTTGTAGAATTTACAGTACTGTGGGCATCACTAGGCAATCTTCACACAGCAGCGGAAAAGGATCCATATTGAGAATCAAACATGATCAGTAATCATCACTGGCATGTTTAATGTTCAGCTTGACTGAGTTACCCAGGATGAAATAGCAGCAGCAGAGGCTTGCTCTGGCTCCCCCTTAAAGCTCCCAAGGACAAGGGTGGCTCATTGCCAAGATTTTAGGCAAGCAGTGCAACAGGTCCCTGATCTTTGCTAGAAAGCAAGACAGGAAGCATGCCCACCTGCTTACCAGAAACATTCCTTTATCTCCCCTCCCCCAGAACCAGCAGGCTTCCAAGGAGCAGAAAAAGGTCATTCGGCAGACAAGTTACTTGTTTACCAGAGCCAAACCTAGATACAAGCATCTGTATACCAAAAATCTGTCCTTACATTTGGCCCTAGGGTTGCATTCAAGTGTAGGCATAATTAACACATCATAAGAATACAATACAAATTTCTCAAACAAGTATACATACAGCAATCAAACACAATCATATTCAATGTGTTTTAAGGATAAATTGAAACATATCTGAGGGGGAATTAGCCTCTTATTACCTGTAATTGTTACATTTTTACAGGTTTGTGGAATATTAACTATTTGTGGCATATTTTGATTTACATTCTTTTGTAAAGCAAACCAAGCATAATCTGTCCAAGGATTCCTATCAATAATAGAGTCAGAGTTAGTGCATAATACAAAAATAGAATGGGTAATAGTGAATTCAGTGATGGAAGAATTACATTGTTTTACTGCAGCCTGGACACTTTGTCACCACAGTTTCTCATTTCACATAGTAAGATTAACTTTATAGCAGATAACATTTACTTCAAGTGAAATATTAAAATGCAGGGTAGGGGTGTCCAGTGTACACTGATCTATATTTTTTAAGTCCCAGTGTTTCTTATCCACAACGCCCTCTTCAGCAAACAAAGGACTAATTTTTTCAACAGCACTGATAAATTGCTCTACAGTTTGTTTCTTTAACCCTGTTCTCTACATCTGCAAAAACGTTGTTACAGCCTTTACCACTGGCTTACCTTGTTTTTGCAGCCTTTATCATGACTTGCTTTGTTTCTGTAAATGCGCATTTAAATCTTTTCCAAGCAAATCCCAATGTTGCTCATCCATGACTCCTTCTTCTGCAAACCAAGGACTGACTATTCCTACAGCATCAATGAACGATTCTATGGCTTACTTTTTTTAACCATATTCCCTCTGTCTGTAATGAAGTCTGTATAGCCTTTCTCATGCGCTGCTTAGCTTGTGCTTGTCCCACAATTGCCCCTTTCACACCTATCCACAGGCAAACCATCTTCCTATCATTATTCTGTTGTCCCTGCAGCCTTTACGGCAGGGTTCCTCACTTCTGTCCCTCATATTCAGGTCCCTGTTTGGGTGCTACTTGTGCGGGCCTGGCACACCAGTCAAGCAGAACCTGAAGGAGGGAGTGGGAATGGAAAGAGGGACAAGAGCACAGAGAACAGAACCAAGACAACAAGGCTGATCAAGCCTTGTTTATTCCAGTGTCTCAGAGATATTTGTGCATAACTAGGTGCAGCTCATGGCAACTCAGAAGTTAACAACACATGCAAGCAACTTATCAGACTTTCCACAACACTGACACAACATAGTTAATTTTAGCAGAGTATTCTTCTTTGTTCATTCTCCTTCAACATGGGAGTATGTGACTTTCTTCATCCCAGGAATTCCATAAGCCAAGACTGACCTTGACTTGTCTATGACTTGTTTATGGGATGCCAACATCTCCCCTTTGCATCCTCTAAATAAAAACATTACTACTTGCAGAGTCAGCTTTCTGGGTTCTCTTCTTTTATTCAGGAAGGGAGAAAGAAATGAAAGATGATAGAATCCCAAGAGGCCACATAGCTCTTCATAATGATATGCAGAGAGAGGGATGAAAGGGAAGAAGGAAGAAAGGTGTCTTGTTTGGGTGTCACCTAGAGTTATTGGAGGTATTGTTTGAAAGACAAACTGTTCTAGGAATTGTTGAAACCTGTAGGGAAATATTAAGAGGATCAGCTAAAGTGAAGATGAACATTAAGTTTTACATCTTATGTTACTATTTTGGTGTTAATATCCTTTTCCTATTGATAAAAAAAATAGAAAAAGCAAAAATAACTTTTTTCAACTTAAGTAAAATAAAACTTGGAGGGCCAGCACTGTGGTGTAGCAGGTAAAGCTGCCACCTGCAGTGCCCATATCCCATGTGGATGCTGGTTCAAGATCTTTCTGCTTTACTTATGATCTAGCTCTCTGCTGTGGTCTGGGAAAGCAGTGGAAGATGGCCCAAGTCCTTGTTCCCCTGGATCTGTGTGGAAGACTCAGAAGAATCTCCTGGCTCCTGGCTTCAGATTAGCACAGCTGCAGTTGTGGTGGCCAATTTGGGAGTGAACCAGTGGATGGAAGTACTCTCAGCCTTTCATTTCTCTCTCTGTGGAACTCTTACTTTCAAATAAATAATTAAATCTTAAAAAAAATTAAAATTTGGAACCTCCCCTACATCTTCATCTTTCTGATCGAAAAACAAAAAATAGCAATTACCTTTACTCTGCTGTTGGCCATTGGCATATTTTCTGTTTCTTAATCCTTCTAGTAAATCTAGGAGACAAATAATGTTTGTGTTAGATCCCATTACTACTATTACAAGTTACCACAAGTTGAGTGACTTAAAACAATACAGATGATTATCTTACAGTTCCAGAGTTCCAAGATCCAATACCAGCATCATTAAATTAGTATCAAGGTGTCATCTGAGCTGGATCCTGAAGAAGAATTTAATAGATAATCCATTTCTCTTACTCTGCATATGTATATCCATGTGTAGGCTGCCATCATTTTGGCCCTCACAAGAGGTAAAATCTCCATTGATAGCCAATAGAACATATCCCTGAGTGTCCTTTTACCAAATCCTTGAAAAAGTATCTATTGCATTTTCAGCAAAAACACTTGGGAGGTATCTGGGGGTCTTGATTGGGCTGAGACATAATAAGGAGTGCACTCCTCCTCTTACCTTTACACCACTGCTTTCAGTCCCCTCCTGATCTGTTATAAAAGACCATGGTGCCCACCTTTAAGAGGTTGTCTAGGTTTCACTCAAGCCCTATTACAAGTCGCTGGAGATTCTCCTAATGTCTGAAACAGAATGGGTTAGGAAACTGTCTTTTAAAATCCCTTATCGGAGCTGGTGCTGTGGCTTAGCAGAAAAAACCACCACATACAGCTCCGGCATTCCATATGGGTGTTGGCAAGTGCAGGGTACTCCACTTCCAATCCAGCTCTCTGCAATGGCCAAGAAAAGCAGTAGAAGATGGTCTAAGTGATTGGGCCCCTATATCCATTTGGGAGACCTGGAAGAAGCTCCTGGTTCCTGGCTTCAGTCAATACTTCTCTGGCCATTGTGGCCTTCTGGGGAGTGAACCAGCAGATAGAAGGTCTCTCTCCTCTCTCTCTCTCTCTCTCTCCCTCTCTCTCTCTCTCTCTCTCCATGTGTGTAACTCTTTCAAATAAATAAATAATAAATCTTTAAAAATCATCTACAGAGTTGGGATCTAATGGACTATATTTCTTTATAGTCTCTCTCAAACATTCTAAGAAGGAAGGAAAATTTTTCTGTGGCTTGTGATCTGTCAGGGAGAGTTTTGCACAAAGCAAGCTTCAGCGTAAAAGACCTCAACTCATTTAGGCTAAATTTTTCCATCCTCTAGCTTGGCGGTGCATCTTTTCTTTAGGTTCTGGGGATTAAAGGAATCCCAATGGTATGGGAGGCATAGAATGCCTACTGTAGATTGTTTGTTTCCCAGTTGGAATGAGAAGATAAAGAAAGAAGTATCACTCCATCAACAGGAAATATTGAAAAATCGCTGCAAGTGCATACAGATAGCCAATTCAATGGAATTAAGCATATAACTTGTGGCATGATTGAGAAAGCAGTAGAAACATGGCCCAAGTGGTTGGGCCTCTGCACTCACATAGTTGACCTGGAGGAAGCTGTTGGCTCCTGGCTTCAGATCGACTCAGCTCAGGCCATTGTGGCCATTTGGGGAGTGACTCAGCAGATAGAAGACCTTTTTCTCTGTCTGTAACTTTACCTCTCAAATAAATAAATGATTAAATAAATAAATAAAATCTTTTAAAAAATAAGTCCCTGCCTCCCACTCAGTACTGAACCACACCCTTGTTATGTTTATAATCTCCTTTTCTTGCTAATCATTACTTAATTTCTTTATTTCTTCAAAATAGCATTAGAGGAGTAACCAGCAGATGGGAAGTCTCTGTCTCTTCTTCCTTTCCCAGTCCATCACTCTACTTTTCAAAAAAGATTATCCATGATTTTTATAAACACTATGTGCATATAAACAGTCCAGGCAGGACGTCAAATCATGGGAAAGGAGGAGAAGCAGAGCAGAGTCACATATCTTCAAGGAGTAATGTGTTTGCTGTACAGAGAATGACAGCACTCATTGTACACAAAACAAATTGGAGTGGATATGTTAACAGTTTAGAACTATGTGAATTAGGCAGAAAATTTCTTCTCTTTCTCCTGAATGTTGCATGAATCAAGAAGTGGAACTGTTCAAGTTCTAAACTATATTGAACCCGATTTTGATCAATTATTTTGGTAATTATTCACCAAATTCATATTGATTATGAAAGCCACAGGTTAGAGTGAATCACACAATAGTGAATCAAAGCATACTCTAAAAATGTTGGTGAATCCAGGTAAACTGAAGGCCTTGTTTCGAGGAAGAGAGCAAGAAATGGGACACACGACGTGAGTTCAGAAGTCTAACATCAGCAGTTTGTGTGCCTTCAGATATGGAACAGAATCTCTAGGACAAGTTTCCTCATCCCTCAAATTGAATGATTTTACCTTAGGAAAAGGTAACAGAATCTGAAGAATGTGTAAATTTAAATCTGTAAATATTCAGGAGCATGTTGTTCAATCTCCATGTGTTTGCGTATGCTCTAGGGATTCCTGAGTTGCTAATTTCCAACTTCATTCCTTTATGGTCTGAGAAGATGCATGGTATGATTCTAATTCTTTTGAATTTGCTGAGACTTGCTTTATGGCCTAGTATGTGGTCAATCCTAGAGAAGGTTCCATGTACTACTGAGAAGAATGTAAAATCTTTAGCTGTAGGATTGAAAGTTCTGTATATATCTGTTAGATCCATTTGGGCTATAGTGTCGTTTAAATCTACTGTATCCTTGTTGATCTTCTGTCCTGTTTATAATAGTTACATCATCCTGTTGAATTGATCCCTTAATCATTATACAGTGCCCCTCTTTGTCTCTCTTAACAGTTTTTGTGGTAAAGTTTATGTTGTCTGATATTAAGATGGCTACGCACGCTCTTTTTTCATTTCTGTTGGCATGGTATATCTTTTTCCAGCCTTTCACTTTCAGTCTGTATCATCTTTGTTGGACAGATGTGTTTCTTGTAAGCAGCAAATAGATGAGTTTTGTTCCTTAAGCCAATCAGCCAATCGGTGTCTTTTAACTGGACAGTTCAGGCCATTCACGTTCAATGTGACTAATGATAAGTGGTAACTTTGCCCTGCCATTTGCCAAAGATAAGTTCTAATATATACTTTGAATTCCCTGTGATCTTTTGCTGTGTGGTTTGCTTCCTTTACCTTCTTTCATATTGATGACTGTGTTTCTGTGTTTCTGTGTGTAACACATCTTTAAGCATCTTTTGCAGGGCTGGACGAGTGGCGACACATTCTTTCAATTTCTGTTTGCTATGAAAAGTCTTTATTTCACCTTCATTCACAAATGATAGCTTTGCAGGATATAATATTCTGGGCTGGCAGTTTTTCTCTCTTAGTACCTCGGCTATATCTCGCCATTCCCTCCTAGCTTGTAGGGTTTCTGATGAGAAGTCAGCTGTGAGTCTGATTGGGATCCTCTGAGAGTATTCTGACGTTTCTCTCTTGCACATTTTAGGATCTTTTCTTTATGTTTCACTGTGGAGAGTTTAATTGCAACGTGTCGTGGTGAGGATCTCTTTTGGTCATGTTTATTAGGGGTTCTATGAGCTTCCTGTACTAGGATTTCTCTATCCTTCTCCAAACCTCGGAAATTTTCTGCTAATATCTCACTAAAAAGGCCTTCTAATCCTTTCTCCCTCTCCATGCCTTCAGGAACTCCTAGAACCCGAATGTTGGGTTTTTTGATAGTATCCTGAAGATTCCCGACAATATGTTTAAGATTTCTAATTTCCTCTTCCTTTCTTTGGTCTGACTATATCCTTTCCTCTTCTCTGTCTTCTAAGTCTGATATTCTCTCTTCTGCTTCACCCATTCTGTTTTTAAGGCTCTCTAGTGTGTTTTTCATTGATCTATTGAATTCTTCACTTCATTATGATTTCTCATCACTATCACAGTTTCATGTTCTACTAGTTTCTGTGTTTCATTTTGTTTCTTCCTTAATATTTCATTTTCACAAGAGAGATTTTCTATCTTGTCCATTAAGGATTACTGTAGTACAAGAATTTGCTTTTGAGAACTTCTTAATGTTCTTATCAATTTTTTGAGATCTGCTTCTTGCATTTCTTCTACCTCACCATCTTCATAATCTTGAATTGGGGTGTCTCTTTCATTTGGGGGCATCATAGTGACTTCCTTGTTTTTATTACCTAAGTTTTTGTGTTTGTTATTTGGCATATTGGAGCTATTTGATTTCTTCACTGTGGTGCTTTTTCTTGTTATACTATGACTCTAGATTAAGTGGGCTGTCTGTTTTTGATGGAGCCTTAGAGGCTTGAGATGGGTGTGGCCTGAGAGCTCTGTTTGGTGTGCCAAAGGTGACACTCCCAGGTTAGCCATGATAGATCTCTCTTTCTTTCTTTCTTTCTCTCTTTTTTTTTTGATTCAAAAGGGAAGTAATACTGCACAGCTGAACAAAGTTGGAGGTAGTTAGCAGGCAAATGATATACCCACAGGAGTTAGAGATTGGAAGCTGTTTCCCAAGGACCACACAGGGAATCTGTTCTGCCCTAGGAGTGGGCTCAAATTCTCCTTCAGTCTCCAACTGGATTTCCAAAGTTATGAAATTGTAGCGTCTCTGGAGAGTACTCACGTCGAATGAACAATGGGTCATAGAAGAAATTAAAAGAGAAATCAAAAATTTTCTAGAAGTAAATGAGGATAACAGCACATCATACCAAAACTTATGGGAAGCAGCAAAAGCAGTGTTAAGAGGAAAGCTTATATCAATCTATAGGTGCCTACATCAAGAAAGTGGAAAGGCACCAAATAAATGAGCTTTCAATTACCTCAAGGATCTAGAAAATCTACAACAAACCAGACCCAAATCTAGTAGTAGAAGAGAAATAATTAAAATCAGAGAAGAAATCAACAGGATTGAATCCAAAAAAAAAAAAAAAACATTACAAAAAATCAACCAAGCAAAGAGCTGGTTTTTTGAAAAAATAAACAAAATTGACACCCCATTGGCCCAACTAAAAAAAGAAGAGAAAAGACCCAAATAAATAAAATCGGAGATGAAAAAGGAAACGTAACAACAGACACCACAGAAATAAAAAGAATCATCAGAAATTACTACAACGACTTGCATGCCAGCAAACAGGGAAA